AGCGCTTGAGGATTATCCATTTAAAATAAAGCAGCACTAATAGGATGGGATATTTTTTTTTCCTCAGGGGAGTAAAAATGGTGTCTTTTAACCTGTCAGGGTGCATTTACAGTGCAGCTGAGGTTTGAAAGAGGCTGTCCAAAAAGAAACCTAGGGTAATAGGAGTGTGTTAGTAGAGCTAGTAAGCACTGAATAGTCTCTGTGGTGGCAGAAAAGCCTTAGGCTTCAACTGATTGCTAATTATGTGGCTCTTTTCCTTTTTAAGAAAATGCCAGGCAAGGTTTGTGAGGGAGGTAAAGTGTGTTAATGTGTGGAGAGTTACCAGTTTTGTTGGTGGTGTATTTTTTTTTTTTTCCCATGCTTTAGTTTGGTATTAGAGACCGGGCTCCGGTTTTAAAATGATGCCGCGTTGCCAAGTTCTGCCACCCATCTCTTAGAGCCTCTCTGTAAAGGGCACAAGTTATTCCACCTTAAAAAGAAAAGGGAAAAAAAAAAAGAAAAGGGAAAGAAAAAAAAAAAAAAAGCAAAACCCACACTGTGCAGAGAGGGAGAGAGTTACAGAAAGTGGGCCCCCTGCTTTTTTCAGAGGGGGAATGTAAGCAGATCCTCGCTGAAACTGCTTCACTCAGCAGTTTTCAGCTTGTTTTAATTGGCCTGGCCTGAAAGAATTCTGAATGCTGTACCTGTGCCAATGAAAATGCAAATGTTTCCCCGAGACGAGGCACTTGGAGTGCCTGTGCCCCAGCTCTGATAGCAGCAGCAGGGGCATGGAGACATGGATGGGACGGGAAACGGGGAGGCCTTGATCTGACTCGGCTTAGAAAACAAAGGGCTTTGGAAAATGAAGCACGAATAAGGTAGAGCAAAACGTGGGGTGCTGCTGGAGCTCCTGCGAAACCAGGGGCTCGCCTGCAGGGAGGCCCAGCACCCTCTCACCTTGTGCTGGGCTGCTGGATCCTCTGCTGGCTTCCCAGGCAGCCTGACGGCTCTTTCCTTCCGTAGTTTTTTCACTGCTGTTTACTGGAGGTTTCCCGTCAGCAAGAAGGCTGTTCCTGCGGTGCCGAGATGCTGTGGCCAAGCGTGTCCATCCAGCCAGTGCCTCTGGGGGTGGTGGGTGCCACCGCGTGGCCCTAGGGGCTGTCTTTTGGGCTGTTGCTGGATCAGTTGGTGATGGACCTTCAGGTCTGGAGCTCTGCCTCTGTGCTGCCGTAGCCTGAGCAATCTGTGATCTTCCAGGGCTGTTCCACCTCATGGAGCCAGACTTTCTGGGTGGCTCAAAGGGATGGCATCGGGGCCAGTGGATCAGACACCGCTGGTGTCTGCTGAGGTGCTGGAGTGTGTTTGAACTGAGAGTTTTGATGAGGGTATGGCGTTGTTTCAACCAAAAGATCTTCTCCCTGTCTGGCTGGCAGAGCCTTACTGCTCCGTAGCACTGAAACTTCAGGATCGTCCCCACTTAACGATGGCTGTTCTTCTCTAACTCCACACAAACTGTTATTTGTTTCTGTCTCAGCTGCTCAGAGCATTTCTGAATTAGTTCAGTTTCACGGTCCCGTGTCCTGATGCAGAGTAACTCTGTTCTCTCCCAAAGCATCAGCTCAGTGTTGGAGTCAGAATTACTGGCATGACTGTCTTCGTGCTCTAAGCTTGCTATTATCTGAAAACATGAAAAGATGATTGCTTAATTCTTTGTGTTTATTTTCTAAGAGGCCCTTTTTTTTTATTTTATTTATTAACGACTCTGTCTTTCCCATGTGGAAATAAAAATGGGTTCCATTTTGCTTGAATTTGATAGTAAATCACACTGGGTGCATCATCGCTAAATTGTGGTGTGTGCATACAAGCACGGGTGTGGGACCTCTCCGGGGAATCCCATCCTGCCTTTCCCATATCCCATTTTTATGCTTTTTTATTCCTTTGAGATGCTGGCCCTACATCGAGATGTCCTTCATCTCAAGAACCAGTTTGCATGCATGCACATCTCCCTCAGGTTCCAAACAAAAAATCCCTTTGGAAACAATAAAATCCCTTATGGGCCTGTGTACCAATATTCCTCATCTGCTGAAATTCCCCATATGCTGGGCATCCCTCCCTGTGACCATTAACTACACTTCTCTGCAACACATATTTCACAAATTATGGTCACACAAAGTTATGTTCTTAAGTATCCATAAAACACACACTTTGCTAGAGGACATGTACTAAAGTCTTGGAATGAAGGAATAAGAAAAAATACCTGGCTCAGCTTGTTTTTCTGCCTCAAGTCAAATTACAGCCCAGTTGTGAATTGGGAAAATAATTCATTTTCAATACATGGTTGATCAATTTTTTCCGTCTTTGTAACTGCCTATACAGTAATGAATATATGTTCTTTGCATTTTTCAGATAAATATCCAGCGTCTTAGGGTATTTAAAATTAGATCTGTATACATTTGCAGAGCAATGATTATTCTGAATTTCATCTGAGGCAATTAAAAAGCATCATGATGACATTTAAGGTGATATTTTTCTCCCCTATGTTAAATAATTATAAATAATAATAATGATTAAACAAATTATTCTGTTCCTCCCAGTCTGGATCAACCTTTAGGTTAATAATCTAAATCATTAAAATTCATCTGTCTCTCAAAGGATTGAGCAGTTTAAAAAATTGGAGGAACCTTTCTGCATAAGGGTGATTGATAATTACCAAAGCAAAGATGTTTTGTGGGTAAAAAATGTGAAGGCTCAGCAGATTGATTGGGTTACACAGTGGTCAGGTTGAGGTGATATTTTCAACAATTAAACTCGGCACAGATTTATCAACTGACATCCGCTGTGTGGGAGATGCAGAAGTCAGGTCCAGGCCTGCTTCTTTGTACACCAGCTCTGAGGAACCCGTGGTTCCCAGCTGCAAACTCACTGCGTGACCTGAGGTTGCTGACAGCCACTTTTTGAAGTTGTTATTTAATTTCAGTGGGAGTTGGGCTCTTCTATTATGACGTTTTATTATTTTTTCCTTAAATTTGCCTGTTATGAGTGAGATTTCTCTTGACTAAGTTTGTAGGCCAAGCCATCTGCTCTAAAATCTAAAATACAATAAATAAATAAAATCCAATAAATAAAATGCAATAAATAAATAAATTAAATCCAAGCTGCTACCCAGGAGAGTTCCTGCTAGTGTCCATCATTCCCTCCGCTCTAGGGTTGGTTGATTTACCTCTGCGGATGCCTCTCTCACTTCATTTGTGATGTAAAGCACCTAAACAGTTAGATGAGAATTGAAATCCAACTTTGAGATGGTTACAGCTGGAAAATGATTATGCCCAAGGTGGCTCTCTGTCTCTGCAGCCACGAGTGCTCTTCTCCCATAGGAACTGCAAAGGTAACGTGGTAAAAACACCAAAATACAGCTTAGCTTCTCCATTGATGAGCAATCTAATATAACTGCTTGAAAGGTGTATGAACTCTTCTGGACTTTGCACCTCTTTGGTTAATTAGAGAGACTTCTCTGGCCACAAAGAGCCATGGAAGAATGGATTTCCAGTGCGGGAAGGAATGATAAGGCTTTCCCAAGGGGCTTATTGGATTGCGAATCGCTCCACCTATTTGCAGAGTTTCTCAGAAGTAGTCTGTGTTCATCCATCTCTCCCCCTCCCTCCGGACTATTAAATCTCTTCCCACTCTGCTAAAACCAAGCCTTCGCCTTGTCTTAATAAATTGCGTTTCTTGCTGAATGTGGCTGTTTTGCAGGAAAAGACACCGCTTGGAATAATCAGGACCAAATTGATAACCTTGTATATGGGGTATAGACTGAGGAGGCTCCCTTTAAAATTGGGGGGACTACAGGGTTGCCCCTAATTTCATTGCCTATTAAATATGGCTGTTGATAACACTTCCCTCCCCAAAACACATACTTTATTCCCGTCTCGTTTTGCTATTTACACCCCGTCCCGCTTTCCCTGTCGCCTTATCCTCCTGGGCATCCCTCGCTAACCATAAATGCCATAAAGCTGGAATTCCAGCTCAAACTTCAACCCAGCGAGAGGAGTTAGTCCAGCCCTGAGCTGCGGTGGCTGCTTGCTGCAGCCGGGCTGCGGCTCCCCGGGGAGCAGCTTGCTCAGGAAATGGAGCTATTTCCGGGCCCGGCTGCCGCCAGGAAATGAGGAGGCAGCAGAGATATTTTTTGAATTTGATGGGATTTTTTTTTTTTTCGTACTTTGTAGCGGGGAATGCTCAGGCCGGCGCTGCAGCGAGCGGTTTATGGAAACCTTTGGTTTGGGGAGACGGGGGCTGAATTGGGTTGGGGGCTGACACAGGTCAGATGGAGAGCGGGGATCTGGGAGCAGCAAAACGCAAGCGAGGAATCCACAGATTTGAAGGCAAAATAGTAAATGTGACCTCATAAATTGTTACTACTTTGTGTTGCCCATATTCTCATTTTCCTGATGGATTTTATTTATTTATTTTGTATTTTTTGACACAAAGTTAAGTAATTTAAAATCCCTTCTGAACCCAGAGCAGAGCCTTTCAGGTACTGCACATGTAGAGATTCGCATCTGCTCCCACCGCAACAAAAAAATTTCAGGTCCCCCACTCTAACAGCAGCCCTTCTACTTTAATATTAAATAGACTTCCTTAAAATTAATCTCATCATAATCTAAAGAAGTCAAGGATACTTTAATTTTTGTGGAAGATGTGTGGCTACCCCCCTAGATTGTTTTAAAAATCTCAGTCTTATTCGTGTGAATATCTGGTAAATTCCTACTGCAAGTGGTGGTTGAAACACCAAAAGTAGGCATTTCCATTGAAAATGAAAAAATAATGGCATTCTTTTAGTGAACTTGGGCGGCGTTTGAGAAGTATGTTGTTATAAGAGCTACACAGAAGATAGTCCTTGTAAAGGGTTTCAGATGTAGCTGTTTTCAGAAACAGATCGTGCTTTGAAATTTTCAGGAGGAAGATTTTTCTTTACCTGTCCCTCTCCTCCCTCAGGAAAAAACAAAACAAAACACAAACAATACATTTAAATGGAATTTACCATTTCATCATAATATTTTCTATTTTTATAATACAGTCTGTGCTCAGTATGGAAAGATTGAAAAAAACTCTGCATTGCTTTTGGATTTTTCTTGAAGATATGAGCATGTAGTACTAAAGCTAGGAACCATCAAAACAAGAAGCTTTTTTTCCTAATGAGAAATCGACATTTGTTCTGAAATTTTTGAATGGGATAGGTTTATGGCATTGAGAGCTTTATTCCACGCGAAAAGGTGGTTGTGCCATTTGCCTGATTTTTCCCAGGCTGTTTTACCCATGGTTCCCTCGAAGCCTCTGTGATCAGGGGACAAAAGCTAGCTGCGTTTGCCAGCGCCTTGTTTTGTTGCTGCTTCGGATTCGGAGTCACAAACCGCCAGCCAAAATCCTGCCATCACCTTCCAAAGGCAAACAAGAACTGGCCTCTGCCCTAAGTGTGCGTCCTACAGGAGTGTCCAGAGGAAGCGCATCCCAAGGGAGGACTGCGGGACAGGCACCCTACAGGCACCCGAGAGGAGCCGAGCAGGTTATCTGGGCAGCCCTGGTGCCATAAAAATATATGTCTGAAACCCCAATACAGGGGCTCCATGCCAAATTGGTGCCTTTTTGTGCTGAGGATGGTACGGAGAGTCGGTGTTCTTCCTGCAGGCCAAGGATTTTGCTTTAAATCCAACTTGTGGTGTGCTTGCTGTGCTGGATTTTGCTTTCCACAGGTACGCACGTGCTTGGGGTGGTGCAGCGGGCTGGGCGTGCTCCTGGTGCAGCAAAGCCCGCAGACAGCAGGTCTGAACAGCCGGCAGGGAGGGAGAAAAGAGGGGGAGCGACTTGCTTGTAGCTGTCCAGAAGGAAAACATAAATCTTCTGAGCTGCAATGCAATGCAACGCTCGCTCCCTCAGCACCCACTGCCTCGCGAGCGATGTCCCAGATCTTTACGTATGTGATAGTCCCACTGAGTTCAATTGTGGCTAAGGAAACACAAATATTGTTACTCACATGTGGAGAGTTGCTCATGTACTAATCAGCTGAAGAGCAGAGATATCCATCTCAGTCTTATTAACTTCATCACACAATTTATCACTGAAGAGGGTTACTGAAGGCTCAATTAGGCACTTGTGATTTTGGCTAGTGCCTGCAGAATAGTGTCCCGTTGTATAATTTTGTTTGGTTTTGGTTTTATATAGTAAAGCACAAATAACATTTACTCATGAGACAGCCTAGGGACACACTGCCAGAAATAGAGGCTCCCGACAATTATACAGGATGTTGCTGTGGTGTTATCATATGATTCATCCACTATGAGTATGAACAATTGTTAACCTCAAGACACTCTCACTTTCACGCCCTCTGACACACATACCACTGAGGACAAATATCCTCAAGATGAGTAAAACATTAGGATTGGGATTTTGACTCATAAAGGTCAGTTCATTTCAGGTTCATGTGTTAAGCCTTAGCTTTGCTGTCCAACCCTTGAGCACGAGGATCGTCTACAAGCAGTGTGAAGTGCAGCTGAGGAAATCTTTCTGGATGCTGATTCACGGTAGTAATGGCTGTGGATAGAGACAAAGTGGTCCAAGGTGGACACCACTGAAATCACTTACAAAGAGAATAAATTTGGCCCAGATCTCCTGATACAACTGCGTTAAGTTCAGGAGGGAGTAATGCTGAGAAATGTGCCCAGTAAGGCTGGGAGAAAGATGGCCAAAGAGATTTAGGTGCTTGAAAGAGGGTTGCTCCTGTGAAAAGCTTCTGTGCAGGCTTTGCTTGACCATGAGCTTGGCAGAACATGAGCGTGGTAGAGCAAGGGCAGCTAGCATCAGCCGAGAAGCTGGACTTTGAGACCTGGAGTTGCAAAACTATCTCTCCCGATGAGCCCTGCAATGGGTAACAGCTGGATAATGGATGAGCTCCTTTGCAACCCCATCTTGCATGCATTTCGTTATCCTATTCTTCCCTGTACGTGTTTGAGGGGCCACCACTGGCTGTGCCTTTTGCAGTTCTTTTTTTGTCTCGTTTACTTTAACTTAATTCTGGCCCTTCCCTTCACAACTTGGGCTCTGGCTCTTGCTGGTGGCCAGCCATCTTTTGCCAACTCTTTTGCCTTGCAAAGTCGCATCACTAGATGGCAGTGTAATGGCACACACGTGCCCTGCCCGTACTGCCGGGGAGAAAAGTCAAATTTCACCTAAAAAAATGGACAAAATTTAAAATTTGAGTGCAAAGCAACTTCCAGACCTTAAAACTGAAACTACCTCTTCAGCCACCTTAAATTCTCTTAATGCTTTCTGCAAAGACCTAGGACAAGGTCTTCACCTATGACCCAGTGACACAGGTGCTGCACCACTTTACACCACGCCCCTGATTTGGCCCACAAAGCTCACATGGATGTCACAACCATGCGTGCGATTTGCACGTATGTGCTATGAGGTCAGGAAATTTGGATAAGATCTAAAATACAAAACCAGTAACGCAATCAAACCTGACATTTTTCCTTCAAAATTAAGCTTTCCTCACTCTTCAGCTTTTGCTCTTGCTTCCCCACCGGATAACGTTTGGAGCTGCTTTGCGGTGTTTGACCCCGTGGTACAGTAAGTGAAGTGCCAGCACATCTCATTTCAGCTCTCCAAAGGGGAAGTGCTCCAAAGGAGTAGCCCAAAGGGGAATTTGCGTGGTGCACAGGTTTTGGTTTGGTTTTCTGGAGGGCGAATTGCATCCTGTGGGTTTGCAGCGTATGGAGTCCATACATTTGTGTATGTTTTCTTAGGTCTGGGCTAGCACCCTCATTTATGACCAAGATTTTAACAAGGAGGAAAATGTCACAGTATAGAAAAATAAACAGGGTAAAAATAAGTGGCAGAAAGACGGTCTTTACCGCACTAAACATCGTCCTTTTTGGACGTCACGAAGACAGCTGTTGGCTGAGAGTGAGATCTGAAGGTCTTTGTTAGGAAACGTTATTGCTGAGATTTTCACTGTTTGGATTTCCTGTTTTCCTCACTTCTGAACCCTTTGGCTTTTGTAATCTCAGCAGGGTCAGGTCTGGTCATCCGTGGGGAAACAGACTGTGAACAACAAGGCTATGTGCTGCGGGAGCAGCGCCGGGGAGTCAGTAGGTGAGCGGCTGGGCAGGTTGTGGAGGAGCCAGGATCCTCGCCCGTCTGCTCTGACCTTCTGTGTAACGCTGGCCATAAGGCTGCCTTGTCTGAACCACATCTGTCTAGATAAAAAATATCTATCCTTGGTGTAAAAACACCGAGTGATGGAAAACCATCCGCTGTCCTTCAGGAGCGCTCCTAGGTTAATTGCCTTTGGCCGTTAAAAATGAGTGTCTTATTTTTGGTCAGAATCTACTTAGCTTCAATTTCCTTGTCGTTGTATCTGGTTATACTTCTGTCTGTAGGCAGAGGAGCTTTTGTGAATTTTTTTTTTCTAGATGTCTTTGATGCCCAGATATGATATGCTCCAAAAGATGCTTCAGGATCTGTCACCTCCTAGATAAGATGCGAAGGTCAGAAAGGAACCATTTGATCTCTCTCAAAACCCCTACTTTTGGAAGAAAGCGCCAAAATTCACTCAACTTTGGTCTGTTTGGTCAGTTACTTTCTGACTCTCCACAAACTCCACCTCCAGTATCAGAAACGTAAAATGCTTTTAACAGTCCTATTTTCAAGCGTTGATTTCCCTGCACTGCATGTCTTTGTGTCTCCACTGGCTGAACTGTAATATTTTTCCCTGCAATCGCTAAAGCAATGGTAGCCTTAGAAGGGATGAAATTAAACTGAAGCAAAGGTACGTGATTGGAAATATGGAGAGAGAGGCTGAAAAATCCCACTGTGTCCACACCTGGTGGCAAGTCACAGAGCTATACCAGGATAGCTGAAAGGATATAATCCTGTTGTAGTAGGCATTATTAATGTTATTGTATAATATTATTTGTCCCTGTGTGGTACTGAGCAGTTACTCTACATAAAGTAATTAAGCACCATACAACAGGTCTGTGTACCAGGTGAGCCTGTGGAGTAAATCAGGGCCGTCTGTCAGGCCAGTTGTGTGCGTGTAGAGGCTGAAGGAAGGACTCCCGTGGTGTACTTAGCTTGTTTTTTCTTTTCTTTCTTTCTTTTTTTTTCTTTTTTTTTTTTTTTTCCTCCTGCACATGTATTTGATGCAAGCTAAAAGTGGTCCTGCCTCACCATCCCCGGAGTATGACCAGGAATTCTGCTCAGTATCTCTGTCAGCATCCCTCTTTTCCTTTCCATCGTTCAATTTCTTCCTCCAGAGAGTGATTGTAACAGGTCAGATCTGTTCTGGAAGGGGGGCTTCACTTGGCTAATACATTTCCCTCCCTTCCTAATTACTCACAGCCCATTTTCTCAGTTATGCATTAGCTTTTCTCAGCATTATTGTGGTACAAGTCATCTATGTTTTCGGGTTCTTTTGTGATAGGGAAACTCCTCCAGCCACAGTTGCCATTAAATTCAGCTTTTTTGAAGGACAACTGGGAATATTTTCACAGGGTGGTGTTTAATTGTTGGATGTGTCCCAGAACTTCCACCAAAAGTGTTTTTTCACATTCACAGGTGTAGGGGATAGATACTGCACAGACATTTCGGACTCGATTCTCTCCTCACTTACGGTGCTGCCTTGATGAAGGCAGAGAAACTGAACTGGGTTATATCAGCGTAATTCATGTTTTTATAAGAGGACAATTGGGTCCTTGTGCTGCTGGCTGGACAGCACACAGCTTGTCACATTGCGAGGTGTCTGAAGGTGTCGGGGCTACTCTGCAAATTGAACCACGGCGTGGAGCAAGGGGACCCGAGGGACCTGCCACGATGTCTCCGTGCATTTCAGGCCTGCATCCCCGAATGGGGTCGCGGGTCCCCTGTTTTCCCCTCCAGAGCAGGTGAGCTGGACAGCGGCTCCACTTCTCCCACTCGCTGGCCCTCCCGGCGGCGGCGTTGCTGCAACAGGACGTCGTGATTTACAAGGCCGAGGCCAGCAGGAAATTCCTACCTCCACCCCCCTGGAGCAGGGAGGAAGCAGGAGAAGCGCCGTGACTCAGAGTCACGCCTGAGTCACCCCGTGCTGCGCGGTTCCTGGGGTGGTGCTCGGCCCCTCCGGCCACCCCCCTGCCCATCGCCAGCCCCTAGGGCACAGCTGGAACCAACTTGAGCTCCTGCATCAATGTTATTCGAGGGGGCAAATGGGATGCTGCAGGTAGAACGGGGCCTGATTTGGTTAATGCTGTTCTTTAATAGATGAATAAACGGCTTACAGCAGGTGCCTGGCAGCTGATGGTAATCAATGGGGTATTTATTTGGGATCAGAAAATACACTCCGTTACACAAGTCTCTCCTCTGGCTTTGGCTTACCACAGGCTCGCTGAAATTGGATGGGGTCATTCGCTGTCTAGTCACAGATAATAAATCAAAGGGCTGGAGAAACTGCAGGAGAAAGGGCACGGACTGACCAAACATTTAGCTGATTGTAGTAAGCGTCAGCCCGGCCAAAGCGAAACTTTCCCAGCAAATTTTCACTAATCTCGAATCCAGTTATTCCCTGTAGGCAGCTGAGCTAAGTAAATAGAGGTCGCTTTACCTTGACTAAACAATGACTTTGCTCTAGCTGCTGCCAGCTGTGTGGCAGTCACAAAATGTACTTTAAAGGCTGCTGGGGTGAGTGAACTACTCGGTCTGGTCGAGTTTGGGCAGGATTTAGGGTGCTCAGTTAGATGGAGCTGCGGTCGGATCAGCTGGTGCCGTTCTTGGAGTGGGGATGGAGCATGCAAACGATCGGCCGTGGGTAAGGAGGAAGCAGAGAGGAGCTGGGGGAGTGGAGAAAGGATGACTTTCCTCTGATGTCAAAAATCCCATCATTCAGTGCTCGCAGGGAAAAAGACGAGAGGAGAAGAATGTGGAGAGAAAGAGGGAGAAGAAATGAAGGGAAGGGGCACGCTCGGGTTTTTCCCTAATTCCGCAGGCTAGCGTTTATCACCTTAATAGGATGGAGAAGGGAGCCTGATCCCGAGAGCCAAGTTCTGAGCAGCCTTCCAAACCCCGGGGACTGTTCACATCCCCACCCCGCTCTGGACTTGGTTAGTACTGCCTTGATCCGAATAATCAGGTAGATAAAAATTGTCAAGAAACTTACTGCACTTTCCTCAGGGCTCTCTTTGTGCTAGCTTTTATTCCTGGCAGTTTTAATTTCTCTGGTCATTGTCTGCGTTTGTCAGAGGTGTTAGATACGCAGCTCTCCTAGGATTTCTGCAGTGTTGTGAGGAATGACCAGAGCTGGAAGTGAATTAGGTCGGGCACCAGCCGCAGGAGAGCTGGAGTAGCCTGGAGCTCCGTCCAGGTTGCTAATTCTTCCTTCCGAGGGGCTCATTTCAAAAGGTGCCGGATTTGTCCTTCGTGCATTTTGCTGTGTGCCGTTGCCTGTAATTAATTTTTTTTTTTCCCCCACTGAAAAAGCTTTCTCAACTGGAAAAAAAAAAAAGAAGAAAAAAAAAAAGCCTAAAAACAACCCCCCACATTTTTGGCAATGGGTTGTTTTTCTAAGCAATTAATTAAGCACTGATTTTAAAAGAATTTGCATCCTTCTTCCAGCCTGTGTCAAGCATGGATTTTGTTTTAATCACTTCACTACCCTCTGACTGAATAAGGACTGAAAAAGATGCAGAGAGTAAAAATTTCCTCAGGAAATGAATCAGACGAGGAACCTATGCCTCATCTTGCCTCCTACAACCGAAGAAAGAGAGGATTTTGTCAATGGTGGGTCAGTTTACAAACGTGTCCTTTGCAGCGTGAGTCATAAGCAGTGATACATTTCACAGCAATGCAACCACAGATGCAGTTTAAATCCAGGACCGAACGCCAGCTAAAGATAAATGGCAATGAATCCTCGTGCCCATAATAGTAATGGGAACGAAAATGCAACCTGTCAGACCGGTGTGTACGCCAGCCAGCTCTTGCTGCTGCTTAAAACCAGTGTCAAAATTCTCGCTTGCTTTAATGGGAGCAGAACAAACCCTCGGGACACGGCCTCGTGATTTCCATTTGCTGATAAGCAAGGAGGGGATTTGAAGTTTTGCAAGACGGAGCTGGGAGAGCACCTGCCCTGCCACGAGGCTGCTGCACTGGGGGCTCGAGGAGCGGGGTCTGCCTTTCAGCAGAGCCCAGGCTTCGGGCAAATGTGCATGGTCCCAGGGGGATGTCACCTTGTCACCTCTGCCAGGGCAGGGGACGAAGGTATTGGGAGCAGGTGGGAAGTGGTGCTGTCTCCGGAGCTGGTTGAAGCATGTTACCGGTTCTGAGATTTCCAAAATGCTGGCCAATTATTTATTTATTTATTTATTTCCCCCCAAAGGCACCAGCCTTTGTTAGTGTTATAACTGTTAAGAGATGTGTAAAAACTGTTGTTGTGAGCCTACCATCAAGATTCGTTGTTGTTTTGGCTGTGGGTGAGATAATGAAATTTAGCAGGAAATCTGAGCTGAAATACAGAAATTTGAAGTTTTCACTGGTGCTGCTTTCCCCGGTGTTTCCTGAGACTAACCCCTGCAAGCGTGTTAGTACTCATGGTTTTGGTTTTCTTTACTGAGTTTTCTGTGCTCATCTCTAGCTTGCCAGGCTTTAGAAGTGTTAGGCAAGAAATCGGGCATGGATCAGCTATTTAATCAATCAGCCAGAGTCAGTGGTGCTATTGCTCTTTATTACTGGCCAAGAGATGTCTTTTGGTGTCCTAAGGCGTGATAAGAGGAGGGGCTGAGATGCTGCAGGTCTTTCCATCAAGGGCAATGACCATCCTTAGGAAGATCTATATATTAAACGAGGTCATAGGACACCGACTGCAATACGTTTGCTTATTTGTATGTGTGCAACCTTTTTGTCTCGAGGCTCACAGGGGCTGTTTGCAAATATTAGCACGTCCCTTTGTAAAAAGATAACGCTGGGCCTGCACCCAAAGGATTGAAATGGAATGGAGAACGGCAGACCTCGAGTCAAATTCAGATTTTCTAAGTCACTGGCCAGCACGTTAACCATGAGATCAGTCCTCTTCTCTTTAGGGTTAAACGTTTCCTCTTACAAAAAGAGCCAGAGGCTCTTGATTATCCATGCAAAACAGGCCAGCACTTTGATTTGTAAGGTTTTGTCTGACACACTTTTAAATGGATGAAGCTCAATTTAGATTCCAAAAGAAAATCTAAATTTGGTGGTTGAGACATATACCCACTTTTCTCTCTTATCCCGAGGCACCGTTCTCCACCCTTCCCCTTTCCTCTTCAAAAAGTGATACTGCCTGATGCTTTGAACCAAGAGAGCATATTTCAAGATCAGCGTGGAACAATTAAACCAATGATCTGTACGCTTCAAGGAGAAAACTGAGCTGCAGTAGCTCTGCTTTGACAGGTCTTTGGAGGATTTCAAGGAAGTTACACCCACTTCATTCATGATAATCGGCTGTTTAACGCAGAGCAGCTCAGTGTTATGAATGAAAGGGAGCATGTTTTGGCTTGCAGAACAACTCACAAATCTAATGCTTCACTCGTCAAATAACCAACCACATAAAAAAAAAATCTGACTTCATTCTTGAAATGAAATTAATGAATGCAAGATTCAGTGGGAAAAAAAAAAAAAAAAGAAAGAAAGAAAAAAAAAACACCTAAAGCTGCATCCTCTCTTTCTTTGGAGTTTCAGAAACATTTCCCCTCTCCTTTCTATGGATTTGTGAGTGGACAAGATTTGTGGCTGGACAAGTCTGGGAAACACAACACAGCCTCTGAACTGATTTTGCAGCTAAGACCAAGTCCTGGGGGGTTGTACACTAGATCAAAACAAGCTGAATTACTGGATTTCAGATATCTTAGTAGCAAAAGGGAACCAGAAGGAAAGAGAACATTAAGAATAGCATATGGATCTACTGAAATAATAGATCTTAATTTGGGTGGGTTGTAAGGTTCTGTGAGAAGCAATGGGCTCTGTATTATATGCCTAAGTAGTCCTGCTGATTATAATTATTTATTCTAAGAATAATATGTTAATTTTTGCTTACTAAACCTGGTTTTGAAGCATACCACTATGTCCTCAGGTACTGCGGGGCTGCTGGAGCTGCCGTGTCTCAGGTGCCTTGGTGCCTTCTGGCAGCGCTGGATTTATAGCCTCTAGAGAGCCTTGAATGCTACAGGGCTCCTGGGGCATTCGTTGTAGGCAAGTGTAGTTTAAGATATCTCAAATTAAAGGCAGGAGCAAGGATAGTTTAAATATTTCTTTCTACCCGTGCCTGATTCGCAGTTCATTTGCTAATGAAATGGCTTTCAGGAGGAGCAAAGAGCACATCCATCCTTCTGGCTCCTTCACTGGGTGCTGATTTGCTTGTGCCGGGGCAGGAAGGAGAACAGTTACTTTGATCAAATAAACACCGACAGGTGGTTCCGAAACGTTTGGCTTGAAACTGAACTGAGTGTTTATTATTTGTAGTTTTGAAAGAAACGAGTGTAATCATTTCCCTTGCTCGTTCTCATCTGGATTTGGGGTAAAACTGTCATGTGGAATATTTATCTTGTTATCAGTATTTTACAAAGTATTAATTGTTCTCACTGGTTTTCTTCTGAGGGGAACATATCGTCAGGTTTATCTGAGAAACACACGGTGATATAGGTTGATTACGTGATATTACCAAGAACGGGTCAATAGTGAAGACTAGGATTAACTTTATAATCCAAAAACCATTACAGCAGATCTGTCTTTTGATCCCAAGAGCACCTAAGTGTCTTTCTCCATCTTAGTGCCTAGATAGCTTCCAGGTCCGTTATATTGAATGCCACAAATGAGAGCAGTGCCTCCTACCTGACCTTAGCAGATGGGGAACTGCTGCACCAGAAGAGTCCTTGGCTTGCCCAAGACCTCGACAGCAATAGGAAACAAAGTCCTGGAGCAGCTGAAAAACCAAGGCCTAGATTTCCCCCAGTTTAATGTTAATTAGGAGAATAAATAATTTCTCAGGAAGCTTAGGAAAGCGTCATGTCCCTTATGGTGTCTTCTGTGCAGTTGTTGCTGTATCATATGGACAAAGGTGTTGAGAGATGTATTTTGTTTTAGCAAAAATCCCAGAAAAACATAAATAAGAACCTCACTGACTTCTAATTCTGCGTGTGGAGTGTGAGGCCCAGAAGGTGTCATTCAGCTCTATGTGGAGGAATCACGGGGAACTCAGCATCCCTTAATATCCAAATTGATGCATACATTGAACATCATGCCTGTGTTTCTGGAACTGAAAAAGTGAGTTTTACTGAAAAGGAAGCTAAACAAAATCAATCGGAGACAAGTCAATTCTACATGAAGTTCTTAAATCTTTGTTCAGTGGCTGAGAGCCTCTGATGGAAGGTGCAGGGAAAAAAAATTCTCAGCCTTTTTTGCACCAAAATAATTCCCAGAACAATGCGCAGCTAACGGCAGGATCTTGCTGGAGCCTTTTCCACTTAGCAATGTATAAAAAGGGCAGGTTGGCCACAATCCCCTGTGCTGTGCCCTCCGGGGGGAAAAGGCTGAAGGCAGAGCAAGGCAAAAGTGGTTGCCTGAGAAGGGAAGGTGTGCGTGGGATCACTTCTTTGATTGCTGAATGCAATAAGCTAATGTCCTCCTTTCTTCTTCTACTCTACAGAACTGCATTTGGGGAAATCAAGACCTGAGCAGATCCTTTTTTTATTTCCACTCATTTTCAGGGTGAGTAAATTTTCTCGTCTTTACTACTGCTGTCATATCCTGTGGAGCTAAGAAGTGTGACTTAAGGTTCAGAGGAAAATCTCTCTTTTTTTAATCTTTGCACTGATAACACTGTGCTTAATTTAGCAGCAGTGAGGCAGAACATTTGGATTTTGTCATCCATTTCCAAAACTATTGTTGGCTTCTTATTTCTTTGTTCCCCCCTACTGCTCATTTTAGATTTACATTTTACTGTAGGTGCCAAAAGATAAGTTAATGCCAACTTGATGATTAATTGTCTAATACTTGCCTCTGCCCTAAGATGGAAAGCCTTTATCTAAGTAACCTATTAATAATTATTTTATTTATTACTGCATGGGTACATCTAAATGGATTTGGGTTCTGCCCTCCTGAGAAATTTGGGCAAGAATTTATTGTTACAGCATGAAAGAAAGCCAATGAAACCTTAAAGTTGGTATCAGAAATTATGTCTTAATGTTGGGGTGAGGGCATTTTTTTTATCTATATTTTGCAAGCCCCGAGCAATATCACAGTCTTCTTGTCAAAAGTGTCCAGTAATACGCAGTTCTGAGGCTTTCTGGTGCACTCAGGAATGTAAAAATCAATACAATAGCTTGATTTTCAAGAGGCTTTGAGAACTGCTCAGGCCTTCTTAAGGTATCTCAGTACCTTACTGTGTAACACGGTGGATAATGCATACGGGTGTAGATAGCATGATAATATGGCTTGTGAACTGAGAAATAACGTGGGCACCTATATAATATCCATACCACCTTGTTCTGCTGCAGTTGAATTCTGGGTCCAAATGCCTTTTGCTTGTGTGTGAATACTTCGACACCTGTTAATCTGCTGAATTCATTGGCACCTAAATGAGAAGTCTACCAATTTTCCTGAAGTCTTAGAGCTACCCTTGGCTTCAGTGGGATTACTGTTTTCCTGGACAGGTCTGAGCTGGACGTGAATGAGAGAAAACTGGGTGAGACAGAAAACTGAGGCTTGAGACATCAATTTTGGGAATTACCTCAGATCCCCAGATTTCTGTGAATCTGGGTCATTTTGTGGGGTGAGCCTGAGACCATCAGAGCAGATTTCTCACAGTGTGATTTTTCATCTGGGAGCATTGTAGCTCCTGTGAAGCTTTCATGAGCCTCTTTGCAAGCCATAGAAATGTGGAAGGAGTAAACTGGTAGCAGCTCTTCCTTCTGTTACAAACCCCAAGGAAATTCCCAGCAGATACAGCTCTAGGAGGGTGTTTTGAGCGGTTTCCTGATTCTGATTGTTGAGATAACTGCAGATAAAAGTAAAAGCAAAGTTAAGTCTCTGCTGTACATCGGAGAGAAAATAGGAACAAGGTGTCCAAAAATGTTAAAACCATCTTGTTTAGGAAGATGAACAAACTCTATCTTGCATTAATATAGCTGCTTCGTATTAAGTGCTTTCACCCATAAAATACTGGCTGTGCTTTCTCTGTAAACAAAGCTGAATGTCCTTAATGCTGTATATGAAAATGTTGTGGAGCTTGCTGAAACTTCTGGGCCCTTTCCTGCACCAGTAGATGGTGAGCGGGGCAGCGGTGCCTGCAGAGATTTTCCACCGAGATTGCCCAAAAAAGTTTCTGTGCTGCCTCGTCGGAAGAAACGTCTGTGTTAGCGTGCCTCAGTCCTGCTCCGTGAATACCACTGCCTCGGTGCTGATGTTATTGGATGTGTTTCTAATTCACGGTGGTTTGAGGCACACTTTTGGGGGATGGAGAGGAGGTTAACGGAGGAAGGCAAGGCCTGGGGGAGAGCTGCTCTGCAGTTTGCTCAGAGCATCGCTGCCATCCCGGGAGCCTTGCCGAAAGGGGATGCGTTAGGGCAGCCCGTCCGTCCCTCTCCCAGTGAAACCCCTGGGGACGTTGATGGGGCCGTCTCACTCTGTGCTTCCCCAGGGAGGCTTTTCTCTTTTGGAAGGGTCTTTAGCAGGAGGGAGGAGGTAGTGACGGTAGCTCTGGGGCCTCCCAAGGTCTGTCCTAGGTCTCCATGCTTTCCTAGGCACTTAGCTCTTCTGTAGGTACCTAGCCTCTTTCTCTAGCTCTATGATTTTCCTAAAAATATCTGCCTTCACCCTAGGTCTAGACTCCATCCCAGGCACCTGTAGATTTTCCCCAGGTCTGAGCCCTTTCCTTTCTCTTCCTTTTGCTTTTTCTCTAGGCATTGTTCTGCTGGGCATCAGCTGAGCAGGCTACCGAGGCTTATTATGATTAACACAGCTACAACATCAGAGAGAGGAGAGCTCAGCGCTGTTGAGGCACACGATTATTAGCACATTTGCTGTGTTTGAGAGAAGAGGGCTGTGGCTGTGCTAGCCGGACAAGCCTCATGGTGTTATTACCATATTAATGGTATCAGGGAGGAGGGCTGCAGGCGGCAGTAGCTGCGGAGGCTCACGATTACTTGCACGTTTGCAATAGGAGCGAGGCAAGGCTCGTGATTATTATTATATTGCTCATCAGTCTGTGTCCTGATACTGCTCAGTCATGCATGCTAGGAACAGCTTATCCATAATGCTCGGAGAATGGTGTGCCACAATCCTCTTGTAGCCCATCAGCAGGGCTGTTGGAGGACCTCACCAGGCTGTAAGAGGAATGAAACTGTATCGCTAGTCCCTCCCTCCTTTTTCTTTCCAACAAGCAAGGATATTCGCTGTGATTAAATTGCGGGGGCTTTGTCAGAGGTTAAGAACTTAACAAAGGGACTTTGTCACGAGATGAGCTGTGAGGGAGATCCCCTGGAGGAGCTCTTCCTCCCAGACGTTCACACACCTGTATCCTGGGTGTCACAAGCCAAACACAGCACAGTCCCTATTCAACAGACCAAAAACCAGCGTTTAAATGTTTTCAGCAAGAATGTGTGGTCTGGGGATATCTCATTCCTTGCCTGTGCTTGTGGCAGAGGAAACGGGATGGGAGTGCCACACGCGCATTTCACGCTCCTTGGCCTCGCTCCAGGCCTCTTGTGAAATTGCCTCTCCTGGCGGTGCTGACGAGCTCCGTGCTTGCAATGGGTAACGCGTTAAACTTGGCGCCTTGCTTCTCCTGCTTGTCAGTGGGTTTTCCAGTACACTTAAAGCGAGATAGGTATTGAGAGGCTAAGAGGATTTAACACTGAGAGGGTCAGGTATGGGCGTGGGACAGCAGATGCCTTCACTGATGGAGATTCTCCTCTTCAGCTGTCTCCTAAATGAGACACAGATGTCCTGAGCCCCAGCCTGTGCCTGAACCACAAGACTAAAGGGAGGAGAGAGTATATGTTTATTTGAACCCCTTGTTATACTGCTGGCAATGTATTGCTAGTTTCCATTCCTATTTTTTTGTACTCTTAGCAATCCATTTGCTATTGCCCTTTTCTTCTGCACTCAGCCAGTAATCAACACACTCCAAAACACAATGGATTCCTTTTTGCGGTGAATCCCCTACTTGATGCAAACGTTTTCTGGCCTCATTTCTTTGGGATACGTTTCAATGGGAAGAAGAGGGGAAAGTATTCCTTGTTCCTCGTGAAAAATTGCACTGGCAGCCTGGGTTATTTTGTCGGACGTGTGGCTTTAAGTGACGCCTTTGCCATCTGTTCTGTCTGCTAATTATGAATGCAAAACAAACGTAGCCCACAATTGCTTCATTTAGAATAAGGGAGATGGCAGTGACCAAAATAGTTTTATTTTGGTGTCAGATGCTCTTTTTATTTCTCCTGTCTCTTCCTAATCTAAAGCAGGTCTGAAGCACTTCTGTCTCTTCCTCTTCCAATTTCCAGCAATAGACATTGCCATGACAAATGAGACTGTCCTTTACGTGTTCATCATTTGGGCTTTTTTAAGAGGCAACTCCACAAAAGCAAGGAAGGGGAAAATATTACATGACTTGAACTGCGAAGGCTAGTTTTGGACTTCACTTTGTGACTCCGATTGCACTGGTCTTAGCTGTGTAAGTAACTTGGAGAGAGACATTGTGGTATCTCCAGAAAGTTTAACAGCAGCATGTGCACTGTTCCGTCCCTGTTTCCTCTTACCAAAGGCAAGTCCTGTAGTCATACTGAACTAGCATGGTATTAATGAACATTGCATTCTCCTCTTGCTTTGTCCAGCAGCTGAGGAGGTGAATTTTCTCGACTTTTAATCGTGGCCCCAGAGGATTTTCTCCTTAAGTGACCCATCACCGAAGATGGGTGATCCTTGTCCTTCAGTGACTCAGCAGGACCAGGGTATAAGAAGCACAGACAACTCTGCCCCCCTCCATTTCCTAATTAGACTTTCAGCGTTTCCTAAGTTGCTGCTGACTTCAAGCCAGGGCTGGGTGATGTGGCATGTCGTGGAGGTATTGCTAGCAGCACAGCCATCCATCGAGCTGACCTGGATTTAGAAAATGGAGATGAGATAAAATGCTTGCTGCGCTCTGCTCTAAGGGGACATGCAGCCAAAAAGCCAAAGCTGTGGAACAATTTCTCTTTGAGTTGTTTGAAACTGAAAGAGGCAAAGTGTTTTTTTTTTTTTCTTAACTAAGTGACAAGATGATGTGTGCTAAGCTGTGACCTCATTTGTTTCACCAGTCCTTTCTCAGGCCAAGGAGGAGGTGGACAAGTGGCCGTGAGGGTTTTTCCCCCCCCTCTGCTAAATAAGTCTGGCAGTTTGCAGATACACATCTGCTTCACTTCAACTCTCCTCGCTTTGGTATTGAGCATGTAGACACATGTTTTTTACCCCTCCTTCCTTCCCTCCCTAGCCATCACTCTTGCTATGATAATCAACAGGTTTCACGTCATTTTCTGGCTGCTTCCATGTTGGAGGGAAATAGGGCTGGAGCACTTCTCTACCTACTAAAAATCAATGTTATGGGCAGCAGAAGTCCTCCTTTCTTGCTTCCCACAAACCTTCTCCAAGAAAACTTGTTGGTTTGTGGTTAAATACTCCTTTCCCAAATTATTTTGAAATTCCTCTCGCTACTTTGCAGAGTTTTCCTGAAGAATAGAGGTAAAAGTTCTGACTGTTTCGCTTTGGCCACTTTGAGGTGGTCCAGGGAAGGAGCAGCAGGGGGACACTACTCTCAGGAGGGCATTGCATCTGGAAAAATCTCTCTGGCTGCTTTCAGATCTTGGCCAACCCTCATAGCACAGCTGAGGCAGAAATATGCAGTGCTCCGTCACAGCCGGGGTGTGAAACACCCAAATCAGATCCTAAAAACTCACAGACTGGTCCCAAACTCCTGTTTCTTTGTCTTTGAACACTGTGCATTCAGACCCGGATCCTGTCCTAGGCCATACAGTTGGACGCCACTTCTACAAAACAATCATCAAAAACGCCTGAGGATCTTGCAGTATGAGAGTTAAAGATTCTGCTGGTGTCCCAGGCCTGAAGGATGATCTTGTGGTTTAAGCATTTGGACTGCGACCAAGAGATGTGAGATAAATTCCAGGCTCTGTTGTGCACTTCCTCTGTGTCAGCTTTGGAAAATCATTCCTCCTCTCTATGCTTCCATTCTTCCCTTCTCCCCCTGTAAAACATCGTGCTCTGCTCTTGTGATTTTAATACTGCACTACTGAAATACTTGCAATTCTGAAAGCTCCTGATCCATGACTCAGCTTGTTTTCTGAAAATCTTCACTTTCAAGTTAAAATAGTGCTCCAGCCCATGGAGCTACAAGGGATGAAACAGATTTAAATTTGAAATAAAGGCACAAAAGCTAGACAAGTCTGAAGAGCACTGTAATTAATGCTATTTAGTCAGCCTGATGACAGCAAGAAGCAGCCTGGTTCAGGATGGCTGAGGTTAACAGTACTGGGAATGAAGGTAGGGTACATTTTTCTCTGGGTTCAGTTGGATGCCCTGGGAATGAATGTCCATGAATAATGCTAAAAGTATGGCCAAGAAGAGACAATTTGTATGCCTACATGGCTGTATTTTAATTAGTTTTAATTGCAGTAGCTTTGATTATTGGGATCTGCTTCTTTGGAGAAAGACTTAGCAAATAACAGTCACAACGTGATGGAGAAGGCTGAGGTTTTGATTCCCTTGTACCTGGTGTGGACACTTGCCAGCTGTGTCAGGAGGGAAGGAAGGACAATTGCTGGAGACTTCTGTAGGTTTGTAGAGTAAAGTACAGGGTCGGGCGTCCTGTTTGGGGGTGTAGTGCTTCTTGTTTGAAAGTTTGGAATCGCATAAACAGCGTTTAACAAATCGTCTTTCTCGTGTGATTTATATCTGACTTCCAAATCCAGCGAGATGCCAGTCAAGCTCTTTGTCTTTGCTCTGGCTTTTGGACGGCTGCTTCGCTTGGAGCTCAGTGAATCGGTGGCCAAAGGAGTGAACCTCCCATGGCATAATGCAGAAGGAATGTGTAGGTGTGTGCAAACCTTCTCCCCGGGGGGCACGTGGCAGGCAGTGGCAGCTCCTGGTAGGGCTGGGTAGCCCGGGTGAGCTGCGCGCGTGCCCGCTGTGGTCTCAGCACCCTGCGTGCCTCCAAGGTGTGCTGGGTCCTAGTGGAGATGGTTGTCCAAAGGGTTGTCTATAACTTTTCATCCACGCTCCCTTGGCGTGATGTGGCACCTGGATAATGAAAAGAAGACTGAAAATCCTTGGGTGCATCATGCAACCTAGGACGCTGGAGGTGGTTTTGCCTTCACAGCAACTGCTTTTTGAATAAGCAGCTGTGAAGGGGGCTTGGGTAGTCAAAGCTGCATCAAGAAAAGGTCCTCTGCACCCCTCTGGTTTATTCCCTTACAGTGTAAGGTTATTCCCACTCTCAGGAACCATTCCTATTCTGTCTCAAATTTGCTGTTCCATACCTTGGTCTCTCCATTACAGCTTTGAGTTCAGGGTGGAAGAAGATAGATTTTTTTTTTTTTTTCCCCTTCAGAATCTCCCAGGGCATATAAAGGACAGCTTTCTATTTATTTATTTGTTTATTTATTTATTTATTTATTTATAGAAGGCCTTAAGAGGTATGAAAAGCGTAACCCAAACCAGATCTTATTTACTTGTCCGTCACCTGGGGACATTGGTGACGAGGCAATAAAAAGTGTCCCAAACTACCACCCTGTCACATCTGCCATACTTGTGGCTCCACATAACCTGTAAGACACATTCTCTGCTCTCCTAGTGTCCGTCCATGAAACAATTTGATCTATACCCATCTTTTGCTCTTTGGGAGGAACAGAACGTGCTGTGAATGCAGTGCTTGCAGTGACAGACGGTATTTGCACAGGTTTCTCTAGATGTCTGTGACTTGACTACAGGCTAGGAACAAGTCAGGTATTTTCCTTCTCTGCTTGGGATTTCGCCTGTTCTGTGGATGCTTCCAGACAGTTTCTATCTCTGGGTGACCTTAAAGACTGACCTGTAATGAGACTGCTTTTCTTTGCACCGGGGATGCTCTAGTCTGTACCACATCGTAGGTATTATCCCAAAATATTTGCTCAAGGGGAGGTAACGCTCAGACCCCCTGCAAGGGTTTTCTCCCCTCATCTTCAGATGACACAGTTCCAACAGACAGCTAATGACACACGTAATGGTGATAAAAAGTCAGTGCGACTGCAAAGGGTAACATTTAAAAATAATGATATACCTCTAACTAGGTCTTATAAAAGGAAGTCTCAAATAGCGAGAGAGAAACAGATGCTTTGGGGGACTTGTGGATAAAAATAGCGGCTTTCAATTTGCAACCAAAACAAAAATATGGCCCCACTTAGTCAACCTCAACACTAGAAATTCCTGTGAAAACCATAGGACCCAGGGCTGGGAAGGCATGGTAACTACCTGGTACTGCGTCTGCGGTGGTTTTGGCACATTTTTCTGGCTCCTACCTTGCCTCAATTCTTGCTTTTCTACCCATCCTGGTGCCTGGCGAATCCCATCTTACTGGGCCTGATGGTTTATTTAACAGCTCTTTAGCAGGCTGAGACCTTCCGATTCTGGAAAAATGCTCAAGTTATGCCTGGGCTATGCACAAATCATCTTCTCCATGGGCAGTGTGGATTTTGACGGAGCTGGTGTAGGTGTAGGTGTAGCACACTCGGGATCTTTGCCCAGTGCCGAGCATTTTCCTCGAGGCAGGGCTCCGCGGGGCTCGGTTATCCACCTCCGTGATGAAAGACTGAATCAGCCTCGGCAGGGCTGGATATGTCTGCTTTGCGGGATGAGGTTTTCAAAGGCAAACTACAGACGGCTCGCTGGAGGCAAAGGCAAATATCCTTTTCCCAGCTCAGCCGGGCTGGTTGAAGGTCTGCATGTCTGCAGGCAGCTCTCCCCCCCGCAGCTCACCCAGGGGAAAGAAGTGTGCGAGCGGTCCCTAATCCTCTCCAGCACTCCTAGCTAGGTTCGTACCCTTTTCTTTGCCTGGTTTTAAGTTATAAGGACCGATTTTTGCATTGACACCTATGAGAAGTTGTGCCGTGCTCCCTTCTCCTGGCTCTGCTGTGGGAGTGAGAAGCTCCTTGGCAAGCAGTTCGAGTGCTACAGCATCCTAAACCCCATCTCAGCCGTTTGTAAAGCTGTGGATGTGAACGGTGAGGTCCTGCAGGCAGCTCTGACTCTGCTGGGTTCGGAGCATCTGTGCAACAGGACTGAGCAAGCTGGGGAAAGGGATGTGTTTGTTTTGTGTGCTTTTGTTTAACTGGGAAAGACACTACAAGGTTTGGAGATAGTGTCTTTATAATATTCCTACTTTTTTCTTACCTGTTAAAGCAAAAAAGGCAAACCTTTCTTTTAAATGGGTAGTTTTAACTCATTCATTTGGTGTTTTTATTACAGGTGGTTCTTCCCAAACAATGCTAAGCAGTCAGGTGAGTCAAATATTTCACTTTCCTGCACATCTATGCATGAGGAATGAGAAATGATGAGTGGGACCAATGCTGGACACCTCTGAATTTCAGGGACTTTAGGTTCAGAGTGGCCCCGTATCCTCCTAACCACTTACCCCCAGAGAGGCATTTTTAAAACAGGCATTTTGTTCTTTGTCTCTTCTGCAGTGCTGCAGATTCACTTGCTTCAGAGCTTGCATTTAGCGATTAGAACTTTATAATTTTCTCCTTTGCTGGTAATGCCCTCACACTGTCATTTGGAGCTGAAAGGAAAGCGCGCTGCCAGAGCTGGCCCCACTGGGTGCCGCGATAATACTCTTAGGAGCGAGACTGTCATTAGATTAAGTGGAAGATACCGGTAGAGTTGCTCTTGATGGCCAGCCTCTCTTTTCTCCACATGATGCTCGGAGTCCGACTCTACTTTTCCTTTCAGATTTCCATATTGTCCCTCCTTTGTGCCTTGTCAGGAGCATTAGTCACAGCTATCCATCCGCATCGTGCGTCGCAGCTGAGACAAAGCCCGTGGGACGTGTGGCTGCCCGGCACCCTCACCCTGCATAGCACGGGGCTTGGGTCCCTCGTGTGAACAGCAAGCACTGGGGCAGGGAATCAGCATTCGGCCCTACAAGCCCGCTGCGTGACGATATTTAGCCTGGGTGGGGTGGCACCTTGGTGGGATGTTGGCCGTGCTGGGACCACGCTCAGCTCTGGTGTGGGAACGCGCTGAGGCTGACCAAAGGACTCGTTTCTCTCATTTTTACTGGTAAAAAGTGAAGGTGATGCTCATTCGGGCACTGTGGGCTCCCCTTCTGTAGATTACTGGGTTCCTCACGTGAGGCTTGAAATCCTCATCTCGTGAAATTTGGCGCACGCGACAAGCAAAAGGCGGGTGCTGAACGATTGTCCCGAGCTGTCTGTCAGTGGGAGAGGATTTGAGACCGTCAGAGACGGAAGGAGGGCTTCCAGAAAGAGATTTCCCGCACCCAAATAATAAGGAACAGAGAAAAAAGTAAATAATAATAATAATAATAAAAAAAAAAAGTTGAATTTTGTCCCAGCCAAGGAGTGAGGAATGGGTGCAGCGACCATCACCTTCCCTGAATGGGTCAGGCTTGATTTAATCACCTCCTTTCCTAAAAGCAGAAGGTGAACAAACCATCTCTAAACGTTCAGGAACACACACATCAGAGACTGGAGGGAAAAAAAAAAAAAAAAAGGTTGTTTAATATGGATATCTGACCCCACTGTGCCGGGAGAATGAGGCAGTCTGCGGCCCCCAGCGTCTGGTGGCAGGGAGTGGGTCCCACATTGTTGGCTCTGGCAGGGTTTCAGACATCTGCCAGGGGACGGGGATTTTGTTGGGAGAGGTGGCAGAGCGAGGGGAGCGAGAGAGAGACGCGAGCAAGCGCGGGGAGGCTTGCAGCTTTCTCTATATGCCCGGATAATGCTTCCTCTTTAAAATTCCCTTACTAAGCTCGGCTCCTATATTTTATATTCCGAAGGAAGGTTCCCGCCCCCCCGGCCCTCCCCACCCACCGCCACCCTCTCTGCCTTTAACTTGGGGAGTTGGGAGCTGCTACATCCACCCCGTGCGCTTTGCCAGGCAGCCCGTTTAAGGCCAAGATTAATGCAGTGCATTGGTGCAATCGTGCCGCAGTGCTGCGTGATCGGAATACGAGATGGAATATAGGGGGAAAGGCCAGAAATGTGCCTGTGTGCTGAGTTTACACAAGTCTCCTTAGCAACTTGTCTGATTTTTTTTTTTTTTAATTTATTTTTCTTTTTTCTATGTGGGGTGTGTGCGTGTGTCTGTGTGTGAGCGCTGTCCCAAATCACCAGTGGATAAAACATTCCCCGAGTTTTTAAAATAGCTCCGCTTGTTGGGCTCGGGGTTGTTTTTCCTTCTCCCTTTCCTTTTGTTAAATTAGTGGCTTCGTTAATTAATTTATTTATTAATTTATTTGTTTTCCTGGAGGGAGGAGGGCACTTGGGGGGGGGGGACGCCGAGCGAGGGGTGGCAGTGGGGCTGGGGGTGGGGGCACCGCAGTACTTCTCATTGTGACTTCGAGAGAGTTGGTTCCCTTCCAGTTGTTCACATCTCAGCATGTGGAATTAGTGTGCTTTCTCCCGATTTGCCACAGAATTGGCAGTAGGCTGACGCTGTTAGTCATTTGAATTGTGTTTGGATCCGGGCTGATTTTTTATTTTATTTTATTATTATTTTTTTTCGTATTTATTTATTTCAAAACATATATATATATTTTTTTTTATTTTGAAAATACGCACGATGTATTTTATAGGCTATAAAATGGAGGAAAGGGGAAAAAAAAAGAAAAAAAAAAAAAAGAAAAGGGCGAGAGGATTGTGGCACGACTGTCCCCCGAGCCATCCCTTTATTCCCCTCCCCATCCAATTTTTTTTTAGTTGCCTCCTGAAGAACCCCCTCCCTCCCTCCCCAAAGGAGGGAGTGGCCTTTTAGTGATCCAGGTACGTTGGATTTTTTTTTTTCCCCCAGTTTGTGCGATACTTTATTAATAGCGTGGGGCAAAGAGAAAGGCTGGAGGGTGGGGAGAGCAGGGGAGGAGGTGACGGCGGGTGGAGAGAGAGGAAAGAGTTATCCTCGAAGTACTGTACCTTGAAATAACTCGAGGGAAAATAGTTGCTGCCTCACTTGAGCTGCTTTCCAACCCTTTCTGTGTGCTTTTACTTTTTCTTTTCCTTCTATTTCTTTTTTTTTTTTAAGCTTTCCAGGGGGAGGGGGAATGAGGGGGGGTGAGAGGGAAGAAAAAAAAAAAAGAAACTGAGCCAAAAAAATTTTGAAGGCTTGATTTTGGCTTCTATACAAACAGATGTTGCCTGTCATTCCGCTGTTAAGCAGGCAGCAGATTGGAGCAAGCAGCAGCAGTTCAGGGGGAACTGCAGCAGAACTGGAGAGTGGGAGATCTGTAGATAGAGAAATACCTTTTTGTTGTCGTTCTGCACATAAATATTTTTTTTTCCCCTGGAATTATCTCTAATTACGACATGTCTCTTCTCATTTTTATTTTTTTTTAACTTTATTTTTTTTTTTAAGTGGGCAAAACAAACGCAAAGCAAAATGGAAAAGCACTAGGAACTCTCACCTAAATTTTTACCAAAACAGCTATCTTTCGGGCTGCTTTGGAGAGCTTTTCGCTTTGCTGTCTTGTTCCTTTCCACATAGGCGAACACGTGTAGGAAAGGGGGTTCTATTGGAAATGCTTAAGGCATTCTCGGTAAGTGAATGTTTACAATGAATTAGGACAGGGATTCTCTTGTTTTTCTTGCTGCGAGCCCTGTTTCTGTTGGGTTTGCCCCGGAGTTGTTGCTGGATGTGGAATTGTGAGGGTTGAAGGCCTTTCTGTCTCCTTTCCAAGTTTTAGCAGCGCTGTAGGAACACGAACCGCGCTGTTTATCCAGTCCGAAGTTCTAACGAAGCACCGCTACGCTCCATATCGCGGCTCTTTTGTCTTCTCTATGCGCTCGTGGGTTTAATCCCCCCCCCGGTTTTTTATGCTCTCGTTTTTTATTTCCCCCCTTTTGTTTTTAATTTCTGCCTTCTGCTTTAATCGTAGCGCGCTTGGGAGGGGAGAGCAAAGAGCAAAACACGGCGAGCTGTGAGCCGAAAGAGTTAAAAGTTTCTTGGCACAGGAGCAGCAGTTTAGCAACAGATCAATTCATTTAAATGAAAGAAATCACAGACCAAGCCATCTGATTTTGAAATTTCACATCTTATGCTTCCACTTTAGAACAAAGCTTCTGTTTTTCTTTCGCTCTTATTAATTCACGCTGCTTTTGTCGAAGGCTGTTGGTTTTCATAGGAACTTTAGGTTGTCTGTAGTCTGTCTCTTTCCCTCTTAAAATATGAAATCCGGGGGTGTAGCCATCCTCTGCTAGTTGCAGTTAGTTCTGCTGTAAAGCCAGCCATAAACCTCTGCACATATAACAGCTGGTGTCAGAGCTGTTTTCACCCTTGATTACTGGATGTTTGAAACAGCTTCCATTTTCTGCCTTGCAGGCTGTACAAACAGTCACCTCTGTGCTGGGAAAAATAGTCCTCTTCAGCCTCCCTGACTGTCCTGCGGGCTTTCTGAGCACACAGGGCTGGCTCTGTGGGTACCCACGGCACCGTGTTGGAAGGGGGGATTTTCTTGACCCAGATAAGAAGTATTTGCCCCCTCCAACATCTGTATCGAGCAGCAGTTGTTCGGACTGGCTGTGTGTGTGCCTGAAGTCCTGCAGATGGAAGAGTTGTATCCCTCTGTGCCTTACCACGTACATCGCCCGTAAGCCACCGTAACACTTTTAATGGCCAGTTAAAGTCTGAGAAGGATCACAAGCAACTTTCTGTGGCTGTTTGTTCAGTTAAATGCATTTGAGCTTTGGTACCAGTCCCGGTAGTTTTGTTCCTACATCAAGTCAAATGAAATAAATAAATTCACAGAGAGAGAGAAGTGAGGGATTTTTAAAATCTATCCCCATCTTCCTTTTACGTTACCTCCTCTAGAAAAAAAATAAAAATAAAAAATAAAAAAAGGACTTGCTTACGAGAAATGAATGTGCTTGGTGCAAGGATTCGCAGCCCCGTACTGAATTTTGATGGAAGCTTTTGCGCCGTGATGCTGAGCCTCTTCACGGTGGCATTGCGTCAAAGGAGAGGCCGTGGCGTTGGGGCATGGGCGAGCTCCTATCAGAGGGAAGCAGCGAAAGGGTGGGGAAGGCGTCCGCGAGCGGGGGGAATCCTTTTGTTCGGCTGCTCCCCAACCTCTGCTTCCCTGCACCCCCTGGAAGAAATCCTCAGTGAGGAAGAATGGTCTTAAGCCGCAGAAAGTGGATTTAGAAAAAGTGGGTGGTGGTGGGGGGGAGAAGTATCAACCTCCACCTCTAGCGCGGCTATGGTTGGTCGTAGATCTGGACGCTTTTATTATTTCCTGCTCTTACACTAAGATCCCAACTGCGTGTAGGGAAACGGCAGGATTCGGAGCGTGAGTCCGTCCCCCCCCCAATATTGGAAATATTTCTGTGGGTGTCGTTGTGGTTACATCACCGCGCGCTCCTTCCTCATCTCCATTCTTGTGCAAAATTCAAATAATTCCCCCCCCTCCCCGATAGCAGCTGTGCATGGTTTTTTAAGTCGGTCTTTAACGTTGCGAAAGGAACAATAAAATGAAAGGCAAAACCGGCATCTTAAAACTTGGCAAGTGAAAGCAGCTTGGACTGGCAGCCAAGAATCCTGCTGTGGTGCAAAAAGAATAGCATCCACGAAGCCACCACAATCCGGGGTTTCTCTTCTTTTAACAATCGCATCGGCAGAGAGAAATAATTATTCCTTGTATCAGTGTTAAAAGAGTCAAAAAGCTTAAAATGCTTGCTTGGTGAACCTTCTCAAAAGCAGGTAACGATCCTCCTATTTGATTCTGTTTTATCAGACTTTAATTGGATAAGGATCTATATACGATAACTAATCGGTTTAAGAAGTTGATGCGTGTTACTAACTAGCAGGGGATGCATTTGCTGCTGCAACTTCCACGTTGCTTTATTTTTCTTAATCGCGTTGGTGCTGATAGAATTGGCAAACTTCGTAAATGCTTGTGTTAGAAGAAATGTTTTATTTCCAGGGATTTAACTCATTGTGTGTGGGGGGGCAGGAGCGGAGCGATCCAAGGTGTAACAGGGAAAATAAGCTTAAAAAAATAAGAATAATAATTAAAATTGGGAAGTCGGGGGGAAGGGGGGAGGAGTAAGTTCTCTTTTAGGACCTTGTCTGATCCTTTTGCTTCTAAAGCTGTAGCCTCTGGGTATATAAAGGTAGGACCCATTTCTTGAAAATTTGCCATGAAAATATCCATAAATGTTTTGTCTTCCAGAATACTTTCCTTGAAGAGTTGGGCCTAGCAATATGGCAGCGCCCGTTCGATAAGAAATCTTGTAAAGTGCTGCTACTGAGGTAATTTGGTTTCTCGTAGATCCTCAAGTCAGTATATTTCTTTTTCTTATAATGTCTTCTTATTTTAAGTACAGAAATCTGTTGATTCAGGTCTTTATACCTATGATAGAGTGTGTGTGTGCATAAATATATATGAATATATATGAATATATATTTATAGGCCTGAATAGACTGGAGGGGAGGGAGGGTGGTAAGGGAGAAGAATGGGAATTATTTAGTGGTCGTGTTTCTTATTTGACTTATTTTCGTGGCAGAAGTATGAAATGGCTGCAAACAGCTTTTTACTCAGGCACACAATGCATTCCATAATGATCGATTTTCCTGGACAGGGCATTTATGCTTTGTGGTTTGCAAGAATACCACCCACAGACCAAAACCAATGTTATGTCTTTAGAGACTTTATTTCTACATGTTTCCTTCTATATTCCTCTGGCTATAAATCCAGAAAATGCCAGTCTTATACTGGTTTAATGCTAAAGAAAGGTGTATTACTTTTTTTTTTTGGGTGCCCCAGGTTCTAGAACCAAAGCCTTGTTGCTCCTGTGATTGTCGACGTGTTATAAAATTAACAGTAAAGCAGAATATCCTTGGCATAAAGATATCACAGTCCTTCATGTAAAGAATACGATCCTTAATGTACAGGTTGGGGCTTTTTGTTTGTAATCTTAGCATTCTAGTCAAATGCAGTGTGAAGACGATTGATTTGTTTGCCTATCATAGATTTTCTGCCACTGTGTGTATGTTCATCAGGTTTTCAAAAGGTACAATAACAGTATGGGGAATGTACAATAATCAATGTGGGGAATTGTTTCAAAACCCAGGTCTTGTATAATCTGTGGGTCTCCTTCAACCCCCCCGAATATATTGGATGTAAGTGAAATAGTTTTTTTTTTTAAAAAGCAGTACATATTGAAAAAATACTAATGATCTATATGTTTTAAAAACAAAACCAGCAACAACAAAAAAAGCAAAACACAAAACCCTGTTCGTTTGCTGCTGCCTTTATCAGTTTCAGAAACTGTCCCTGAGTTTGTTTTGCAAAATGCATGAAAAGAAACAGGTTGGTTCCTGGACACTCGTCCTTTACAGCGTGTGGGTGCCACTGAATGAAATGTCTGTGCCACCCAGCTGCCTTTCCCCAGGGCTCCCAGGAGTGCAGAAGTGGTCGATCGGATTCCTAGCGGGGACCTGCCGGAGTGCTTTATTTGGCACACATAGGTGCTTTTCTAAAGATAGCTATTTCTGCTTTCTCTCTCTCTCTCTTTCCTTTTTTAACAGCTGAAGCTATGGTGATGGATCCTAACACTTGTTCTCTTTTGTTCTGTGAAAGCCCGTCAGGTAGCAAGGCAGTGGGAGCTGCTGGGCCAGAACTGCAGCAGAGATCAGCCCTCGTTCAGGAACTAAATAAAGGGCGTATTTATATTTTTCTTTTTGGGTCAACACCTAACAGCTGTCCTTACGAGCCTGCGGTGGGCTCTTAGAAGGTCTGGCTTAGTTCTGCCTCTGAGAAGAGCTGTGATAATTCCCTAATAAAGATCAGTTGCTGAAGTGCGTTGGGTGCCTGCAACCTCCATTCAGAGCAGTAAGAATTGAGGCCACATGTCCTACCACAGGAGGTATGCACAGGCCACCCAAATGGTACATCTCGGTTTCCTTCAAGGACTTCAACTATACCCCAGTGGTTAGAAAATGAGATTGTGAGATATTAAGGGAAAAGAAAAATGCTTTAGAACTATGAAAACCTAGTAAAAATGTAACCTCTGCATGGTACGTGTGCTTCAGTGAGCCCAGTACTTCCCCATCTCATACAAATAAATCAGGAATTTCTCTGCCAGCAGGGGATACGTGCAAATTCTCATACCCTCCTATATACATTATATATACATAGATACATTAAGGTAAAGAAAATTAGGATCAAAATGAATATGCTCCTAAAGAAAATACTCTCTGTTATGCAGCATTGCATTATCACATGGGAGTGACGTGCAAAAGGCTGATGGAAAAAAGCCTTTCCCTTGTAAGAAATACTGATAGAGGCAGCAGCAGTGTTCCTGATCCCGATCCTGTGCCTATTAGGCCCTAATAGAAGGGTCAAGAGGCAATTTGAATGACAGTCTTAGGTTCCCCGAAATAAATGAGCTTCGTGGTTGGAGGATTTGGGTTATTTTTGGTAGGGGAACATTTGTTATATTCCGTTTGCAGTTCGGTTCCAAAGAAGTGCACAATACGTGGATTTGTGCGTGATGTGACTCTGTTCTGTCTGCAGGACCACGTGCTCCCCGACCCATTGCCTTGACTGCTGCACACATTGCAGGGCTAGACCTTTCCGAAAGCCGGGTGCTCCCAAATTGCATTTAGGGTCCTACGTAAAAGTTTTGCTGGTTTTACAAAGATGCTCCACGCCTGCAGCTTCTGCTCTTGGTAGGAATTTCGGGCACTGAAAACTTTGGAAAAGCTGGATACTTTAAAGGTAGGTATCACAGTAGAAAGTGTAGGAATCTAAATTTAGACAATCAATTTCGCAGATAACCTTTGGACAGATGGCAAAAGTTTAACGTCTCTGGTGCTGGATGGAACAGGAGTTTCGTGTAACCCAGCTCAAGCAGCCTTCCAATAAAGGAAAATTGTATATTTTAATTGCATACTTACCAGGCTGGAAAGGTTGAAGTGTTTTATTTTAAGAACCTCCACAAGAAGTGGGAGAACTTTTTAAAAGCATCCAAATAACAAAATTATTTTCCAAGTGCTGACTGTTTCATTTTTATAGAGAATAATATTAGCTTGCATTGATTTCGCTTGTCTTCTGAAGAAAGAGAAGAGGTAGAGAGCGAACATTTTGTGACTCTTTAGGCACCAGTTATTCTGACTGATTTTGTTCAAAAACCCTCCCTTTGGAGCTTACAGCCAGCCTGCTATTCGGCCTCGTTCCCCACCAGTTGCCCACCCAATAAAATTTCATTAATGGGAAATGTTAGTTACGCGGGAGAGAAACTTGGAAACTTTGGGGGAAGGAGGGGGACGCTTCTTGCTCGCAGAGACAAAACTTTGCTCCGCGATTATTTTTCAAGACTTACTAGGAAAACTTTTAAAGCAGTTTTATGTTTGTCATTGTATGAAGAAATGCAGGCAGACAGCAGAGAGCTGGAGTTGGGGGAATTTTCTGGATTGGTTAGTAAAGTGAAAGGACTTTTATTTTTCCTTCTTTAAAAACAGAATTAAAATAGCACCCCAGCTCAGTAATGACTTCTCTGAAAGTTAAAACAACTCTTACGCAGTTGTTTCTTCTGCCTGTTTTAACCAGGCTGCCAGAATGGAAACGGGACAAGTTTTTTTTTTGTTTGTTTGTTTTTTTTTTGCAGGGTGGGGGTTTGCATGTGTATAGCAGTGCTGTGTACGTTGAAACCTGCTCTTTCCGAATTTGCTACACCGTTAGCGATAGCCACCGGCGTTGGCCATTAATTCTGTGTAATCCTCAGCAGTCCTGGCCAGCCAAGGAGCTGTAAGAGAGAAAGGCAGACCTCTTGCTTTATGTTGTTTATTTTCAGATCTGTTTTATTTTGCTGAGTTTTTAAGGGAAGCTGTAGCAGCAGAGCTGGTGTTATAGCAAAGGCAATAAGCAACTCTTCCCCCCCTCAGAGAAGGGGTGTTGGGGTGCGGAGGGGAGCGAAGGCTGCTGCTTACTAACAGCTCTGAAATTTCGTTTGCAGAAATGGTTTTCCTCTATTAAAAAAAAAAAAAGGGGGCAAAAATAAAAAAATAAAAGCCAAACCTAGCAAATTGCAGAAGAGCTCCATGCCTGTTGCCACAAACCCGTAGATCCGAACTTGTGGTCATATTCCACACAAGCTTGTATCTATAGGTATGTGTCTGTCTGGCAAGTGCACAGAGTGGTGTGTTTCTGCATTTCAGCTGGCAATGTTGAACTCTGCTGTTTGTGTCTTCCGTCTAACCCACTCTTCCCTCCTCCCGTTTTCCTTTTAAGAGATACAAAATGAGAGCTGCAAATCGTGTTCTGCAATTATCATATCAGTTTTCAGCTTTGGTTAGTGTTAAAATACACGCAGACAAGCCAGCAGCTCGTTTGTGCCTGAATAAAATGGGACGGGGGGGAAGGTATTTGCCATCAGCCCGAAGAAATGAAATCTCAGCTACGTTACCAGGTCTGGCAGTGGGGCAGGGGCAGAGGTGGCTCTTCGGCTGTCGAATGCCGAGGTTGTGGGGACGCGGGGAGAATTGTTGCATTGATAAAGTAACGGGGATCCGTTCTTCGCTTCGTGACGGCGATTTGTTTGTGAGCAATAGGCGCCTCTGCTCGTCTTTATAGCCAGTAACTTCCAGTCTCCGGACACGCTGCAGGCTCGCAGCTCTGTGGCAGAGCAGGGATCGCCCCTCCAACTCCTCGCTCCCTTTAAAATTAGTTTAGTGTAGAATCCCGTTCCTCCTAATTTCACGGCACTTAATTCTTTTTAAATAGTTTTTAAGGGGGAAAAAAATCACGCTATAAACTCCAAAAGATTGGTAGAGCAGGGGAAAAAAAACACCACGTAAGCAGGCAATATAAAACCTGCTGCGTAAAACTAACGTTTTTCAGTTGCGAAAGTGGAACAATTATTTTTGAAGAAGTTTTTTTAAAACCCCAACATACAGATTCTGTACAAAAATAATTAGAACGTGAACTCAAAATAAAGTCTGACTGTTTCTTTCCAGCAGCTTTCAGTGTTATTTCTACCCAAAGATTTGGTCTGTATTTCCACTTTTAAATTTCTCTGTGTTTGAACTTGGCTGGTTTGACACACGCTGCTGCAGTCCAAAAATGTTTTTTTTTTTTTTCCCCTTGCTGAATTTCCAGGGTTTTCTATGTGTTTTCTATTTATTATAGAAACATAAAATGATGGCAAAGAAGGCATCTGCTAATAAAATTGCAGCCTAACTGCTTTTCTTTCTCCCTGTGAATTAAACTTGTTTTTTTTTCCGTTTCTTTCAAAAAATGCACGGTTGACCATTTTATATGCCCGTGCATTTCAGCAGGCAATATTCCCCTCCTGCACGTGTAGGACACCAAGCTGGGAAGCTGTGGCTGCAGTAGGTGTGTGGTTTCCAGCAGATCTCCTGCTGCTGGCTGGGCCGTGCGGTGCTGTGCAGCCTTTTTTTGGCACCCGTTATCTCTGGTCTTGTGGGCTCCAGGTGCTTCTGTGCAGGGCCTGTGGCACGTGTCCACAAGCGGTGCTTTGGCTCTTCGTAAAATGGACAGTAAGAGGTGATTGAAGAGGGTGAAGGACACATCTCTTCCAGGCAAACGTGTCGCAAGGCCACATTGAAGCAGTGCTGAGACGTGCGGCCCAGAACATGGGCCCTGGAGGCTCCCAGTGTCCCAAAACTTCCCCGGTGCTGGTTCCTGCCCCTGTTTTCCCCTTCGCTAGTGGATGTTGCTTCAGCCGCAGTGGAACGAGCATCGTTCATCATGAGCTAGGACAGAGGCAGGATGAGGTTGCATTTACTGGTGGCAGTGAGATTTGGTTTTGCTAGAGGCTTGCCATGGTTTTTGTTTGTTTCCTTTTATTATTGCTCTTATTATTACTACTACTATTTTATTGTAAAACACCCTAAATATTCAGTGCATTAGATTCCTACATTTACGGCTATAAAGGAAGTCTTGGTTCATTTAGTCTAACCTCCAAAGAGAAATCTGGCCAAATGCAGTTCCCACTATAAGGCGTACGTCTGCATGGTGGCCTCTTCCCTGGAAAGCCATCCGGAGACGTCAGGCACCTGGCAGAATATGCTGAGAAAAGCCCAGAAATTGTCACTGATGTTTTTGGAGGCTGGCGCTTCAGGTGACATTGCTCTGAGAGTGCCAAGAGCCTGTGGGAAAGAAATTGGGCAGATGTGCTGCAAAATGAGATGCTCCAGTTGGGGTTGTGGAGGATTTGAAAGCATATTTTTGGATTAGAAAACGAGTATTTGAATCTAGGGAGAGGAAAGAGGAAACGGGCTTTTCTTTTGTACCATATTTCGGTGCAGTCTCTCACCGACTATGTTGGGATCTGCTCATCAATATCCAGCTTTTTTCCTTTGGGTGAGAGACTTGGATCTACACGTGGCTGGATGCTTAGCAAGCAAACTGCAGAAATGTGCCTCCAGGCATGGGACTGAGGTGTCGGCCGTGCTGCTGGGAGGAGAGCTGCTGCATCCTGCTCTGAGGCTCAGCACGTGTGCTGGGGGCTGCTGGTTTTCTGCTGCTGGCAAGGAAAAAGGGGCAGCTCTGCTTGGAGATGCTGTGGGTCCTGCACAAAGAGGCCTCTTGGACACCGTTGTCTTCTTCTGCTGCATGGCTACAGGGGAGATGCCGGCGTGGGCACTGGTAGGGTGAGCATTTGTGCCAGGAGCACCAGCATCGCTCTCTGAGCATGGCAGAGCCCTGGTTTCTGATGTGTAGCTCAGGTCTTTGTACCCGAGTGCTCTTTTGCTATACCTGTTCACTTGATGCTGCTAAAACTGCCCTCCTGGAACCAAACTTAGTTCTTAGCATGGCCTGGCTCCAGCTCCTGCCTCCCTGCCACTAGCTCATGTGCCCTTCCCCTCCCCTCTTCCTGCTCCTCTTACATTTTACTATTTTTTTAATTTAATTTAGCTTTTTTTCTCATTAAGGTACCCCCACCTTTTTTAACCATAGCCTCTGATGTTCTCCCTCTGCCCTTTGTTTTTCGGCTCATCTTTTCGGGAAGCACCGTGTTGTGTTCTCAGCGTCCATTTGTGTTTCTTTTCTGCTGGTTGTGTTTCACTGCACTTCATTAAGTTTTAGAGCGAAACTCGAGTCTGACAAAATGATGTGAAGAACCTTGAAATGCATCTTCCCTTTAGGACGGAAAAAAAGCTAATTGGAGTCCGTGGAGCTTCTACCTGTATTTTCCTTAGGATTATTATTATTTTTTTTCCTCACTTTGCTGATAAGGAGCTCGCATTTATGCAGCAGCTTTGATCCAAGTGCCATGCAGGGTACAGCGGCCACATCGCCATGCACGGGCATGCTGCAAAATGGCTCAGGGCAGGAAGTACTGGAAGCTTCCCCCAGTTTGCTGTTGCAGAGGAACTTAAGGAAATAGAAGGCAGTCGCTGTAGCTGGCAACAACCCAGAGCATCTGCACATAGACTGTACCAGGAAGGCCTTGGGGACATGAAAAAATCACAATATCCTCTCAAAAAAAAACGTGGTACCTTAATTAATGCAGTCCCATTCTCTATCAATATGCAGCCATTGCTTTAGTGCCTCCCAAGAGGCGAAAAAAATGCCTCCTGTAGAACTACGTGGCTGTGTCTGCATCTGCGGGAGCTTTACTACAAGCGTGTTTCATTTTGCCAGAGTTACAGTTTAATCCAGAAGCAGTAGTTCTTGTCTGAGGAAGAAAAACAAACCTCTTCCAAAGCAAACTCTTCTTTTTCTTCAGATTTGGTAAACCGTCTCCTTCTCCC